GAGGAAGGTATTCCAGATGTGAGATTCAGATTATGTTGGCAGGTAATTTAACCAAAAGTATTTATTCTCTACCGTTGTCCAAGCCACTCAGGGGAGCACACACCTGAGGAAACAGATGCAAAACCTAGGCCAGGGGCAGAAGAAAACCCAGGCTGGCTTGCTCTCTTGGCATGCAGACTCGTAGGGGGAGAGTTGGGACAAGTGCAAGGTGAATGTGGCAACGCTGTGAGCACCAGCCAGGTTTGGAGCAAAGCTGGCTTGTTTTGCGTTTTGACATAACAGTGTAGAGAAGGGAGCTCACCTGGGACAGAGTGGCCAGTTACAGAAATCTGATGTGCATTACATTCTAAGTGGGTTTATAGTTCTGGGCTTCTGTTTTCTCAAATTCAAACCATCATGGTGGAGGAAATGAAGTTTAGGACTTTCTGTTTACTAATGGGCTGTTTTGGCAATAGGATTGAAAACCACTTGTGAGCAACACTATCTCTTCCAAGTGTCCAATATTCTAGAGTTTTATTTCAATTGAAAAGCTGTGGGAGTATAGTTTGCCTTATAAGGAAAAATACTGTCCGGCTCAGCTTTTGGCTATCATTTCCTGGGAAGAACTTTCTGCTCCAACTTTCAGTGGCCAACAAGTGGGCCAGGGACCCTGGCTTTTGCGGCTCTACCTGTGACCCTGCAGAATGCAGAAAGTTCTGCTTCAGAGAGAGGGAATCTAAGGCCAGAGGAGGTTTCTCTGTGATGTTTCTGGAAGGGTATGCTTGGTTTAAGTATCCATTTTGTAGAAAGAATAGCTCTGACTCTTAGTAAGTATAGTAAAGCTAAGACAATGTTATTTATTGAAATTTGCCTAAGTATCCTATACTTTATGTAAATTAGTTATTAATGTAATGTAGTAATTTTATCACTGCCATTTATAAATAAGGGAAAAGCATTAAAATTTCTATCTTCAAAGGCTTTTCTAAATATCTAAGGCTGCTAAATAGGCAACAGCAACAATGAAATCCTGCTGTATGTCTAACAAAATGAAACACACACACACACACACACACACACACACACACACAATCTACCTCCACTCTTGTTCTTGGATTTAACACTCAGGCTCCCACGGTATGTGCCTGCAGCACCCATTCCATGTTCCTGCCCCATTGGATAGGAGTCTTATGCTCTGTGCAGGGTGAGGCCACCAGAATTTGAGTTGGGAAGTACTGCTTTACAGGAAGCAAATGAGGAATATATAAAACAATCAACTAGAGCAAAGAGAGAGAGAGAGAGTCTGCTGAATTGTGAAGGAAAGCAATGCATATTGTGTAGTTTTCTTTTAGCATAGCTATAAAGTTGATAAATTCTGGTAAGAATATGGAGAAAAAGGAACTCTTTTTTCACTTTGATGGGGAATGTAAATTAGTATAATCATTATGGAAAATTGTATGATGTTTCCTAAAAAATTAAAATGCCTCCTTGGATTTTGTTTAAGAAGCTTTCTGAATCATTTATCAAAATTCAATAAAACTCAATTAAAAAAACTTTAAAAACCCCACTCCGAAAACACACAAACACACAAACGAACAGTGTACATCCTATCTGAAACAGCTCCTGAGTACAGTCATATGACTGCACATCAGTGTGATCAAAATTAGGCTTGTTAAAGCAGCGATCTATTCACTGCTACAAATGCAAGCAGTGAGTACTTAGTGTGTTCACAAAAAGCTTGGGGTTAATTTTATGTGTGTCTTGGTTACTTTTCTCTCATAGCTGGGACAACATACCTGATACCCAAAATGAAGGAAGGAAAGGTTTATTTAGCTCACAGTTTGTGGAGGTTTCAGTCCATAATCAGCTGGCTCCAAGGCAGGGTGGCATGGCACTGGGGCAACACTTCAAGGCAGCAGCCAAAGTAAAAGGGTAGTCAGAGCAAAAGGGGACAACAAGCCTCTTTTCCCGCCTTGTACTGTATGCAGCCCCCACCTCACCCTCTAGGGGAGATGTAACACTCACACAGTCTCCTTGCCCTCCTTTGCACAGGATGGGAATATTTACAAAGAATGAACCCTGGCTCCCTACTGAGTCTCTCAGATAAACTTCTAAACTTTGCCATTTGACACAATGATCAACCATAACAATGTGTCATGATAATGTCTCTCCACAAACACCAAGCATCCTGCAGTAACTTTTTGTGATGTAAGCATTTACCTTTCTAAATTTCTTAAATGATTTTGCCTTTTACCTCCTTGGGTATTGTATGATACCCAAGACTCCATAAATAATATATTTTTAAAATGTCCATTTGACACCTACATGAATGTCTTACTTCCAGAGAAAAGGCAGAAATACTTTTGGTATCTTTTGGAAAGATAGACAAGAGGATAAATGGGGACAGATCCCAGCTAGAGGGACAAGGATGAGTGTTTTTCATGCAAAAAGAGCTGGGGTCAGAGTTCTGAAGCTATCAGGAAATGTTCTTAAAGTGTCGTGCGGGAGCTCTGGGATGCTGTAGGAAATCCCAAGAGCTATATTTGGGGTGGCTGAGTCAGTGGAAGCCCTGCTTCCGGAGCTGTGGATACTGACTTGTCAGGACATCTGTCATGTGCAGGCATATCACAAACTATCAGTCTACGACTGAAGTCTCAGAGGGTCCCTCCCTAAGTCCTTGTCACACAAGCCAAAAATAAGTGGGGAAACATGTCACAAACTGTGTGAAAAATGTTCTGAGGGACATTTCCATGCTTAGTTCACCCCTTCAGACAGAGCCAAGTCTGTCTTAGCTCTGGACCCCAGCTGAACGCCTGTACCTCAGGGTTTTAGTTCCCCTGACATGATCATTAGAGGATAAACCATCTGAGGTTGTCTTGGCTGTAAGGGCTGGCATTTTTCTACATGTTGTAGTCCAAGCAAAGGGCAAAATTTCCTATCTTTGGACTCTCATGTCCATTCATTTTTAGGGGGACGACATCAAGTGCATTTAATAATTTTGTCCTTAGGCTACAGTTTTATCTCAGCCATCTTTCTCCACTCTAAAGTGCCAGGAAAGATTCTTTTAATCCTCATTCAGAATGCTACTTCCTCCCATTTCTGCTTCTTCCTCCCATTATTAAATTAAATGTTCCTCTTGGAAGGTGAATGTTCCTCTTGTGAAGAATACAACAAGTTTGAGAATCCCAGAGACCGTTCATTAGAAGGAAGCTAGTTGGGATTGTGTATTAATGCACCAATAGCTTCAGACAGTGGTCTGCAGGTGCCACCTTTGGAGTTTCATGTGCAGAAGGAGATGATGTCCACTAATTCCTCACCCTAGGAAGGGGGAACTCAGTTCTCAGTTTCTCTCTTTGCTGGCTCATTCTTGCTTACTATCATCAAGCAGCACCTCTGGTAGCCAAACTTAGCTCAGACAACTAACTTTTAATCAGTAAGCAATTGTACCAACAACTGCCTCACTTTCTAATTTCTATTGGAGTTATGTGTTCATTAATTTAAATAAACTAGTAGTTCTTTTATTTCAATGCAGGAAAAAATGTAATATGTAAAGCGGTTCAGTAAATAAGCATATTCACCAAGGAGCACATTAAGTACTACATAATTGGATACATGGAGTCTTAGGTAGGTGTTGCAATATGCTTTTGTGATTTAGGGGGAAGTTGGTTGGGTTTTTTAGGGAGGGATCAGTAATGTTTTATTCACATTCAAAATAGTGAAACAAAGAGTCTTTGAAAATTCACTTTTAGGCTTTCAGAGATGGATTAGCTTTGGATAACAAGGGATTCTTACACTGAATTTATGACCTTAGAATTTGTGATCAACACAAATATGTTAACTGGTTTTGACATTTGTAATGACATATTCAACTTGTTATGTAACAAAGGATGAATTAAAAATAAATATAAGTGTTTTATATATTCCATAAGATTATTAAGTATATTTTAATAATATCTGCAGTTGGGGAGAGATAAAAAGGAGGAAGATGCAGAAAGAATTAAGTTCTGGTAATCAGTCTCAAAATAGATGAGAGTAGATTTGACACAACAAACTTTGAAGAGTGTTAGTGGAGAATATATCTGGTGGGACTTTCAGCAGTTCAAATGTTCAATTTGATTTTAATATAATTTTCTCTAAGACACACATTGCGTCCCCTGAGATTTCATGGAGTTTATACTGTTAATAGTTTATATATTAGTAGTTTCTATGCCTATTCTAATCTTTTCTGTGTACATTCCTGGCGGAAAACACTTATGAGAAGATATAATGGTGGTAAATCTATTCAATGTTTTTTGTATGATTACTAAGTGAGCATCTTGTTTTTAATGGTTGGAGTTTTCTTTTGCCAAGGTTTTTAGCCAACGGGTTTTTTTTTTTTTTCCCTTTTCAGCCTTGTTTTGCTTTTTAAAAAGCCTTGTTTGGCTTTTAGGGATGGCTCATTTGGGATACATGTTAAATCAAGAATCTAGGCATGTCTCAATGAATGTAAGCATTATTTGTCATCGACATGAGCTAAGGATAATAATAACAACAAGAATGAAGACAGGGAAAGGGGATTTAGAGTCAGAGGGAGGGAGGTGGGTGGGAAGAGAAAAGAGATGAAAAAAAAACCAAGCTGTATTATGTGCATGAACTTACTTGTCAAGATGAATGTAAACTTCATGTACTACGAACATGTACTAACAAAATAAAAAACAGGCTTGTCAGCTTCCTAATGGATGAATTGTTTTGAATGCATAAAATCCGTTTTGTCTATATTTTATTATTTGTTGACCAGTTTATATTCTATCTTAGCCTCAATTTTTCTTCAACCTTCTACATTGCCCTGTGGCGTGCAATCAGGGAAGGAAGTTTTGTATTGCACTGAGCAAATGTCATTAAAGGCTGAGGCAATATTTGTGGATAGGAAGCCCAGTTATGATAAATCTAGCTTTAAAAGGTTAGATAATTGCTTGGAGAGGAATGAATGACTGAATTGATTGGATTTAGGAAAGCTGCTGACTTATGTGATTCCTTGTCCACAGGGCAATGGCTACCTCTTGGGCAGCTTTCCTGATTATGACCTGGCAGAGTACCGATGAATCTTTGTTTCTATTTGGATGCTGACATCATATTTGGAGTCCGGCGTGGGACGACTATCATAATAGTAAATTATAGTTATCTTTGCCTTTGTATTTTCAAAGAAATTTTATATTTACCATTGCTTTCTGAGACAATTTGATGAAGTACAAAGAGCATAGGTTTATAGGCCACATGATTTGCTGCAGCAGCTGCCATGTATCTCTGGAGAGATACACGGGGCCAACGAGGTCATATAAATGATAGTCCCCACAGTTCTTACCAAATTAAGAACTTCTGAAGGTCACTTGAAGTCTCTGAGCCTTGTTGGCTTCCTTGATAAAGTAAAGGAGCAAGTTAGTAACTGGAAAGTCTTTAACCTTCTCATAGGAATCTTCCACCATTATAAACATTGGTAGATAACTGGAGTCATGTACCGTTTTGTTGAACTAGAGCACATCGGTAAAACAGTGGCCTGGCTGACAGGACAAGCATGTGATCAGTCCCACACTTATCCATCCTGTTGCGCTTTCTTCTGTGTTAAAGGATGATGGGCCCATTGCGACCTCTGAGGAACTCCCTGTGGTCCTGAGACAAGGACAGTCACTGCTGAACGCAAATAACTTGAGGTTGGAGAACAGGAAATCCAGCTGCTCCCAGAGGACCACTGATCCTCTAACAGGAACTTCTCTGGATGTAAGGGATGTACGAGCTTCTTGCATCTGTGAAACTGCACAGTTCAGGCTTTCCAGAGAAGGCAGGCTGGTCACTCATCTAGGGGTAGAGCTATGGAGAAGTCTATGCTTTGCATTTTCTGTCAGTCCTTTGAAACCAGTGGTTCTTATTTTGAGCCATCTACTTAGAATTATTAAGAAGAAGCCTGGGACTTCATTCTCAGAAATCTCGATTCTTTAGCTATTGAAGAGTTGGTCCATGGCATCTGAATTTTTAATAAGAGCCAAAGAGAATTCCGATGTGGTGAGCTGGGATGAATTCTGAGAGCCTTGTGATAACTGCCCCTGCCTCAGACTGCCTAAGAGCTAGTGTTCCTAGAAACATTCTCAAAAGTAGTATCATCTTTCTCAGTTTGAATCCAAAGAAAAAACTGAGGCTCCCTATCAAACAAATTCTGAATCCACTTGGCCGGCTTCTGAGCCTGCCACCACCGCTGAGTATTCAGCTTCCAGTTTACCAGTGGCAAGATGCCTCCCTTCCCACAGGTATGGGCATTCATAAGCTGCCGGTGCGGTAGAAGAGCTGTCAAAGAACGGGCTGGACGTAGGGTGACCACTCCTGGTATGATCTGAAACAGCAGCATCAAAAGAGTAACTACAAAGGGAAGTAGAAATCAGAGCCAAGAAAATGGTGTTGAGCAGCAGACCTGAGAACAGTGCGATGCTATCAGCAGAGAGCAGCTCAGGGCCTCAGCGGAATGGCTCCTCAGAGGCAGGACTGTGCAGTGGAGCTCTGTGGGATGCAGGCTGTGAATAGGTGACTGCGTTGCTCTTATCAAATACCGGCCATGTACACTAAACACATGATATAAGATAATCTTTACAGACATTCACTGATTACACAGAGATCTGAGAAATAAAATCTTCACAGATGATGAAAATTGTCCATCTTGTTTCTGAGGACCATCTTTGACAAGGACTTTACATGAACATAATGAAGTACGCTTTCTTTGTAGTTTTTATTAGTAATGTTCTTTATTGAAATATTACTTAGATTAGGGAGTAGAAAATGTGAGTGCCAAATACTACATATTTTAAATTTGGTGAATTATAAGCTGTTTCTATTATATATTCATCATAGTTTCAGGAATCCTTTAATAATGTACAAATTATTCTTAGAACAAAATCAAGGCAAGGACTGCATTTGATCCCTAGCCTGCAGTTTGCAGATCTTCCTAAATGTTATCCCTACACTAATAGAAATATTATTTTTGTTTACATTGCGCTTGATATTTTCTGGTAGGAAATGTAGTTCCTTAGGGAAAAAAATCACAGTAATATAATTTCCCCAATGATGCCTCAGCTCCTTTATTATGTACTTACAAAGGATTAAGTCCTCAGTATAAGAAGTGGAATTATCTAAATTTGCATCCTCCTGTGGCCAGCTAATATCAAGCCGGTAAATAAAGAGCTGAATTTCAGTTTTATTTCATTTGACAAATGCTGGTGTGATGGTGATCTGGCTTTCTTGAGCTCTGATTTTAAAACTTAGCATATTATAGCTAACTTTCCACAGATAACATACTCTAAATTATCTTAATGACCTCGTTTACCAGTTCTACGCTGAGATTTATCTCAGTTCAGGGAGACTGTGAACATAAGGTATCCCAGACTATCAGTGACACTGCTGCAACAGTTGAGCGTAGTAAGATTTCATAAAGGCCAAATGATGCCCCAGTTAGATAGAACTTTAAGTAAAGGAAAGCTTTGGTTGGATATGATATCCTCATGTCACTCTTGATATTTCTAGTGATAACTACAAAGCTCCTGTAATAAATATTCTCATAGAGTACAAAAGGTTTGACTTCAGCCAAAGAACATTTTGATCACATTCAGTTAATGTTTGAATTTTGAGGATTCCCTATCTACTTGCAAATTTGCACATACTCTCTCGTGTTATGAACATTGTGTATGCAAATTAAATTCACCTCTGTGTGTTACTGGGAGACTTAATAGTGGTCATTATAAAAATTATGAAGGTCAGGAACAAAGTAGTTGCCATCGGGTTAGAGAGTCTGTGCTGGTCCATGGCCACTGTAACATTCAGAGAATGGTGCCCCTTTGTGTGAGCAGATGAGACCCAGTGGCAGGGTACGTGCTCTTTCCAATGGTGACCGATTGGATTTCAGCCCAGCTGAGCACTGCTGTTTAGGATTTTGTGCCTGTCTGGAGAAAGTGAGAAGAGATAAGACATATCGAAGTAATGTCCAGTGAAATCTAGGCATCAAGGATTGCTTCCTAACTTCTGTCTATGGTGACTGTTGTATAAAACAATATCTGATGTAGTGAGCCTTTCACAACAATCTCAAAAACTGAAACTCACCTTTGAAAACCATTGGACCAGAAGAAGCAATGGTAGCCCTGGGAGTAGATGCAGATGCCCAAGATGAGTTCCCGGTGATAAGTAGAAAATTGGGGACTGCAACTTCCTCTTTCCTGGGTGTGTTACTGGGCGCCATAGATCTGAATCCACAGTGCCCCCTACTGCCTCATGACATGGGGCATTTATTTTGTGATTGCTAAGTGTTGGTTCCTTACCATTCTTCCCCAAGTCAAGGGTGGCAGAAGCAGATGAGAATTAAAAGCAATGCTCCTCATCTTTGTGGAGCTAATTCCCAAATGAGGAAGCAAGGTTGCTGGGCAGCACACCGCTACTTAGTGACATGGATACGGCTGAATCTCTTTATTACTAGTTTAACTTTCTCACAGAGTCATAGAGACATTTTGTCTCTAGGAGTTCTGGGTATGGTTTTCTGCTGCATTTGGGATGAAGCTCAACTTGCAAAGGGGCTTAGAGGAACATAAATTAAGTTCAGATTTTTGAGAGTAGAGGGAAGGGGACAAGAAATACTTAGTGGGAAAGAGTGTACATTCAGACATAAGAATCAAGTGGAATTCAAACATGGCAAGAGAAGAAACTGACATTATCTCTCATTTCCAAGGCTCCAAATTCCCAAAAGCACAACGGTGTATTATCCTATCAGTTGGGGTTTCTTATATTGAGTCAGACTTTCTGTTTGCTTGAAGCCTGATTACTATAATACTTGATCTGATTCTTTTCATCTGGGGTCCACAGACTTAGGCATAGAAGAGCAGCTGGTATTTTTGTGCTCTAGTGATGGAGAGGTCTTTAGGTATTTTTAATTTGAAGCCTACAAACACATGGCAAATAATTCTCAATCAGTGTCCTAGAGATCTCAATTAGGCTGGTGTTTTATGTGGTTGTATTACAAAGGGATTTAAGGACAGTTTTCACTGCATACTTTCCCTATAATTGCTGAGCTTAAATGCATCCCTTGAACAAGTGGTACAACATTCTTCGAGACGGGCTAGTGATGAAATATTAAGTCATTCTGGGAGTTAGCTTGATGATAGTTATGTAATGTGTGATTTGTGGCAATGAAAATGTTAAAGGGCCAATTACTGCATCATTATGGACATATGATACATCAACCTAACGATACATCACTCCCTTTGTAGTGTTCATATGTATTTAAATGAGGACATAAATTGTCAGTACTGTCAAGAGTATGTTGCATATCTGCCTCAGCCAGCAGTTACAGGGTGGAGATACAGGTGGGCCATGGAGCAGGGAGGCCAATGAAGTGAACCCGGCCACTTTTACTCAGATTCCATTCCTTGTTGGGTCACCTTGGTGAGTTAACTGTTCACTAAGCTCAAATTCTTTACTGTAGAATGAATGTCTTAGAGTTGTGTGTGTCTGCAGTGGAGGGGGTTAGTGGTTAAACCATACTATGAGGTACACTGTAAGTGTGTGGTGATAGGTTCCCTATTGTCACTGGGCTTGTTACCCTCTTAGACTCCATGTATCCAGAATTTAAAATGGAAATAACTTTTCCTGAGAGTATTTTTAACGTCGTAAATCTGACTTCTTTCTGGAAGGCTGAATAAAATGCACCATCTTTAAGATTAAGTATATCTCAACCAGGAATCAAGTACTTAACTTGCCTACTTCTGCCACTCAGCTCACATTCCATCTGTGGCCAGGTTTTTCTTTTCTGCCTCCAGAAAGATCTTTATTCAGGAGCCCTCAAATTGAACCACCTTCATTCTTTCACCAGGCCAGGATTCTGACACCAAATTCACTGATTCCAATGCTGAAAATTCTGAAATAAAGGAGTTTTGAGAAGTCTCTTTTGTTTCTCCAGGCTGAGCCTGGAAGGCCTCGTCAATTGAATGCGGACAGAATATAAGACACTAGTTGATTCAATCAGACTAGAGTGAGGGCTATTTGGGATCATCCCAACCATATGGTCATGTTCACTCCTGCCACTATTGGAGCTCACCATGCATCTACCTATGGGTGGACCTTTGTTCTCACCATGTGGTAGCCAGCTCTTCTGTCTGCCCATCGACGGACCTTGACCTTGCTGGCTCTGAGTACTTGAGAAATCCCACTTTGTGACCCGTTTCTTCTGGATATCATCCCTTCCTCTTGAACTTTGGGACACTCAGATTTCAGGCTGCCAGAAAGATGAAGAGGGAGCAGCTACAGGAAATCGAGGAGCAACAAATCAAAATAGGAAGACAAAACCCAGGAGACTCTGGCATCAAGAACTCAAGTGAAGGAAGTATTTCAGGAATGAGGGAGGGGCCCATGGTATCAAATGTTGCTTACTTAAAGAGTGAGATGGAGACTAAAGTTATTTCATGAGATTAGCAATATTGATTTAGTCACTTTAAAACATTGGTTTCATTCTTAGAAAATCTCTGTGGAGGTTGTTATTAAAGTTTGTTTGTTAGGGAGAGTATTTATCTCCCTCCCTCACTGCTGTCCTTCCACATTTTCTTTTCCTTTCTTCCTTTTCTTCTTCCTTCCTTTATTCCCTTCCTTCCTTTTCCAAGTGAAGTTCTTAAGATTCAGGATACACAACTTTTCAGATGTATTCAGATGGAAAGTGACATACTTTAGACCTGAACCTTTCCCCCATGATCTCTGCTGTCAGATATTTACAATTTAATTTGCCTGTCACAGATCTCCTTTTACTAGATAAATCTATTTTAAGATTTATTACATATTGCAAGCTTAAATTTTCTTCCACTTTCATGGATTTTATGTGTCAGGAATCTGATAGGGTAATAATTTTAGGAAATTTCTATCCTATCTGAGAGTAAAGCAAAGCCTTAGTGCATTGCTTCCAGCACTCAGTCCTCCTAGGCATCACTGAGTATTTTGTGGAAAGTAGAATGGGAAGGGAAAACTGTGGCAGGAAGAAGATTCACGGGAATCCTTTCCATCATTATAGTTGACTGAGCTTCCCTGAGGAGATTTCTGAGAAGGTTGACATGTGCTTGACAACTCAGGGGTTAAAGCAATTCCGCAGGCAGCTGATAATTCTGGAACAAATGAACTCAAAGGTTTTTGAGAGGTGGGTATAGAGTCTGATTTAGCTGTTTCTGTTTTCGGCAAACAAGCACTTGTTTGGAAATGATATCAAGGCCATCTCATTCTATTTACTGCCTCCTTAGTTTAAAATTATCCTAAGCATCTTTGAAGAATAATGCACATACAGAAAATCCATGTGCAGTATTAAAATAGTAACATTAAGGTATTAATGTCTAGTGTTTCTCTTTTGCAACCCAAAGTTTAATGTCTGAAGGACAAAACATGACAATGAAAATATCCCAAGAATAGATGGCGTCACTGATGAATGCTACCATTTAAGAAGAACTAATACCGGTTTATCTCAAAGTCTTCCAAACTCATTTTATGAGGCTAGAGGGAAGAATCCTTTCAAACTGATTTCATGAGGCCAGCATTACCAAAATACCAAAATCAGACAAAAACAACAATAAAAGAAAGCCATAGGTCAGTATCCATCATAGAAATAGATATAAAAATCTTCAACAAAGTATTAGCAAATCAAATTAAATAGCTTATTAAAATATCACTTACCATCATCAAGTGGGATTTATTCTGAGGATATGAAATGATTCAATATATACAAATTAGTAAATACAGTTCCACATCAATGGAATGGTGGACGAAAACAATTTGATCATTTCTATAAATGCAGAAAGAGCTGGATAAAATTTAACATTTTTTCATGATAAAAAAGTCTCAACAGAGTAGGAATAGAAAAATATACTTCAACAAAATAAAGGCCACATAGCACAAGCCCATGACCAACTTCTTCTTTGGTAAAAAATTGAAAATTTTTCCTCTAGAACTAGGAAAAAATCAAGAACATTCATACTTGTCACTTCTACTCAAAATAGTACTAGAAGTCCTAGCCAAAGCAATTTGGCAAGAGAAAGAAATGAAAGCCATCCAGGGCCTGAGGATATGGTTTAGTGGTAATATACCTGTCTATCATGTATGAGGCCATAGGCTTGGTGTTCAACACCACACACAGAAACAGACAATCAGACACACATCCAAATTGAAAGAGAAGAAGTTAACTGGTTTTGTTTGGCAATGATATGACCTAATCTATAGAAAACCTTAAAGGCAACACCAAAAAATTGTGAAACTAATGACTAAACTTAATAAAGTTGCAAGATACAAAATAGATTCAAGAAAGTCTTTAATATTGCTATCCACTAATAATGATCAGTCTGAAAAACAGAAACCTAGAAAATGATTTCATTTATAATGCATATAGATGAATTATTTTGAAAAAATTTAACCAAAGAAATGAAGGCTTATATATCCAAAATTATAAAACATTTATAAAAGAAGTTGAAGAAGGCGTAAATAAGTGGAAAGACACTTCTGTGAATTTAAAGGATTAATACTGTTAAAATATCCATATTACTCAAAGCTATATACATATTCAGTGAAATCCTATCAAAATTTTAATAGCACTCCTCACAGAAGTAGGAAAATAATCTTAAAATTTATGTGAAACTATAAAATCTCCATTAGTTAAAGAAATCTTGAGAAAAGATGAAGACATATTACCTCATTTCAAAATGAACTATGAAGTTCCAGTAATTAAAACAGCAAAATACTGAGTGTTGTGAGGTACTCCAGTATTTCCAGCACTGTTGGAGACTAAGCAGGAGGACTATTAAATTTGAGGCCAGCTTGGGCAGCTTAGTGAGGCTCTGTCTCATAAAAAGAAAATGCATGAGGGTGCTCTCAGTCTCCAGTGCTATAAACAAAAAAGGCCAAGGGCAGGGTATGACAGGACAGGGCAAGGCAAAATAAGGTAACACAATACCACAGCACACCACACAACCCAACACCTTAACATACCACACAACACAACACCACACCACACAATACAACATCACAGCAAGGTGCTAACATAGAAACAGGCACACAGACTAAAGAAAGAGAATCAACAGCCCAGAAATAGATACACACATTATTTATGGTGAATTAGATTTTGTTTAGCAAAAATAGATTCCTTAATAACTGGTATTTGGAAAACTAGATATTACAAAAAAGAGAATGAAATTTGATCCTTATTTCCTTATCTCACACTACACACAACTCACAATGGATAAAGACAGTGGACCTGAATGACTAGAACAAATAAAGAATTGAAAAAAAATCAGATCCTCCAAATTTTAAGACTCAATAAAAAAGATATCTGAGATGAATACACAGTTCTCGGATGAAGAAATACAAATGGCAAATAAATACGTGAAAAACTGTTCCACATCATTTGTCATTCGAGAAATGCAAATTAAAATAACATTAAGAATCCATCTCACTTCAGAAAGAGTTGCTACCATAAAGAAGAAATCCACCGATAGCAAATGCTGGTAGGGCTGATGGGTAAAAGGAACCCTTCTCTACTGTTGGTGGAAGTGTAGATTGGTACAACCACTATGGAAATCAGTGTGGAGATTCCAAGAAAACTAGAATTAAATGTCTTATTTGATCCAGCTATTCCTCTTCTAGGGGACATCTTCCTGGAAGAATAAAATATATCATACTATGGCAACGTATGAACATCTACGTTTATATGTTTATAGCAGCACAGTTTGTAAATGCTAAATCTTGAAAATAATCCAAATTTTTATCAGTCAATATCTGGATAAATAAAGTCGTGGGTTTTTTTTTTTATATATACAACAGAGTACTTCTCAGCCACAAAGAAGGATGAACTTGAGACATTTCTAGGTAAATGAATGCACCTTGAGATCATATTCTTAAGTGAAATAAAATTGGACACCAATGTGTAAATATTCTATTGTTTCCCTGGTGTGAGAAACTGAAAGAGTAATTAAGGACCAAAAATGTATACTAGATATTGTGAAATAGGAAGAAATCGTTCAAAAGGAAAAAGTATCTAGGGAGGGTGAAAAGGAAAAGAAAAGAAAAAAAAAAGATTAAAAGAAAGGTGAAATGGAAACAAAGTTTTGTAAATAAGGAAAGGAACAGGGTTGAAGGGAGGACAGTGGATTTGGAAAAAAAAAAAAAGAAAAATCAAGATGTATCATATACAGGTATGAATTCCCTATGGTGAATGTGATCATTATGTATATCTAAATTATAATAATAAACTTAAAAATGAAAACTAGAAACACAAACAAACCAACATAGAAACAAGTAGAAAACTATTATGTAAAGAGTGCTTTATGACATTGTTCCATAAAACGATTTATTTCTAGGTAAAAACTTAACACACAGGCAACAAAAAGAAAAACAGACAAACAGATTTATATCAAGCTAAAACGTTTCTGCATAGCCAAGGAAACAATATGAAGAATAAAGACACAAGCTGCAGAGTGGAAGAAGACACTTGCAAACCATACATCTGACAAAGGGTAGTATATAGGAAACTCCTTAATAACAAAAATTCAAGTGACTCAGTGGAAAATTAGCACTAAACCTGAGTCATCATTTCTCAAAAGTTACAAGTAAGGAGATATAGACATGTGAAAAAAATTCTCAGTACCACTGATCATCAGGGAAATGCAAATTAAACCATGAGATACTACCTCACACTTGTGATAATGGTTGTTATCAAAAAGATAAAAGATATAAAGTGTTGGTGACGATCTAGAGAAAAAGGAAGCTGTGTGTATCCTTGACAGAATGTAAATTAGAAAATTCATTGTGGAAAGCAGTATGGAGATTTTTCCAAAATTTTTAAAAAAAATTTTTATTAAGAAAATTAAAAGAAAGAAGGAGCTTAAGATAACGGAGGACATAACAACATAATAACACAGGTCAGAACAGAATAATTTAAGCAACATAGTGTTTCACCACAAGATAACCTGACATAACAATAGTTACCATAGTGTCTCTTTCCTTGAAATATTTGAGTATAACTTCATATCTTATAGCATCAAACACAACATGACAGTGTAAAACCATTCAAGAGAATGAAAGTATTACAGGGTATTTAGAACTAACCAACAGAAAATGAACAATGGTTTCTATATTATCTCCTTGTCTATAAAAAGTTTTGTTTATACTATCACATATAATAAAATCCAATAAGATACAACATGATAAACCAATGGAGACAGAAGAACAAATTCATGGGACTTCAAAATATTAAAAATGGAACCATGTAGTATATATCCCCAAAGAAATGAAATCAGTGTGTGGAAGAGACACCCGGACTCCCACGCTCATTGAATTCATTGAATCACTACTACACAAGCCAAGATGTGGCATCAGCTTAAGTGTTTACCAATATATTAATGGATAAAGAAAAGGTCTCACACACACACACACACACACACACACACACACACACACACATGCACACACACAGGGCTGATAAAAAAAAGAAGGAACCTTGTCATTTGTGATATGAACAAACCTGGAGGAACTCATGTTAAGTGAAATAAGCCAGGTACAGAAAGACAAGTACTGCATGATCTCAATCACATGTGGAATCTAAAAAGTTGAATTCATAAGAGGCAAAGAGTAGAACGCTGACTGTCTGGATAGCACCTACTAAAACTCTGTTGGGAGGATAAGATATCTATGTACAATTTTGCTTTTAATTTGAAATGAATGAATAAATATTTTAAAGGATAAAGTGCCTATGTAGTTTTGGCTTCTCTCATGAGAAAGTAGTGAACATTTTATCTGTTGATAGGTCCGGATTATTAGGTAGGCCGAGAAATGCCGTGGATACTTGAAGATAGGAGAACAGGGTGGTGATTAATTTGACTGAGATATTGTTCTCCATCACAGAAATCTCTATTTTCCACCGAACAAAGGTTTACAGCAATGTTAGGCATCTATCTACTGGTGAACATTTTTAGAGAAAGTAACCTGCAGGTTGCTTTGAAACGCACAAATGCAGCTTGCTTTCTCACACATATCAGGTTCAGTTACCCACCAAATAATTTCAGATCAGATGTCTTTTTTCTGTCTTTGTTTGCTTTCCTAAAAGCCACAAAAGACAGTTGTCATCAAGACCTTCATCACAGTCTAAAAATAAGTCACTAAAATTTGGCATTCCTGACCTAAAGAATAACTTTTGGGATATTTAAGACTGAAAAGGACGTCTTAAAAACTTGACTTGCCTGTTGAGACACAAAGTGATGAATGGAATTCTAGAACTGTAAAATGCTAACATACAGAATTTATTAAAAGCTTTAATTTATTAATTAAAGCAACCAGAGTCATAAGTCATTTCTAAGTTGAAGTGGCTGCTTTGAATAATTAAAAAGTAGAGACTTATGCTGAATTGAAGGGCCTGGTCCATTTCTGGGTCCAATTAGAGCCTTGTGAAGGTCCAAGACAACCACAAGAATGCTGAAAGGAGCTCATGATGTTGAGTTTAGGGTCTCCATGCCTGTACCTCATGTTTGTGAATGTGATTGCAGAATGGAGTTTAAGTCTCAAAGAAACAAAACTTGCCTGATTAAAGACAAACAAACAAACAAACAAACAACCACAAGTCGCTTTTGGAATGACAATGATCCAAGTGGGCTCTGCAGAACTGAGAGTGGGCTCTGAGAAAGCATCAGGATACAGGGTACTCTGCAAAGATGGGTGCTGGGTAGCTTGTTCATGGTGGTTGACATTTTGGATGTACTGGTCCAGGCTGTCTGAGCAGGCTATACAGTAGTACTTTAGTTCATGAACTTAGCTTTTTCCATGATTCTGGTCACAAACCGAATTGGATGAGAACTGCATCAAATTTAACAGTTCATCATATTGACCTTATGGGGAAATTTGATTTGACTCTTGCTCAATTCGACTTGTGACCAGAATCATGGAAAGAAGTAAGTTCATGAACTGAGGGACCAATTTACAGTCCTCAGCTCAAGTGGAACCAGGAATTCATTTACGATTCTGCCATCTCTGTGGCTCACTGAGTGTCTCAGTGGCTCCATTTCCATCTGGGTAAAATGTAGAGACAGTGATTGTCTCTGCCTCTCCCAGGATTAATGAGGTGGTATTCACAAAGAGCATTGTATTCTTAGGAAGGAATGCTCTGTGGCAAGACATTACAGGGCAATAACAGTAAGCATGTTTTAAACATGTGCGTGCTACTATCCAGTGGGAGCTACGACTGAACACTTTTGTATCTCAAATACAAACTGATGCATATGGAACTATTTAAGGGTAACACACGTCAGGCCGAATAAATGAGATAGTTGATTATTATACAGAAGGTAGTTCATGCTTAAAAAATGCTTTATGCTTGCTATTTCATCCTCAATACACAGAAGACATACTTGAGCAGTTCTATTTAGATAATCACTGGCCATTGAGGGCGGAAATTCGAAATAGAGAAAAAGATTGGATCACGGAGTCTGTTTCCCAGGAGACAGGGAAGAAGCAATTCCAGCAACAATGCTCAGCTGCTCCTGCTGTGTCTTAAACCAGCTTCACAAACTTGCCTTTGCAACTGTGGCTGTGATAAACACCAGACTGAGGGAGCCTAAGGCTGGCTATGGGTCAACTGTTTCTTCATAGCTGTGTGGAATCTTTTGTACCAGGGGTGCACTGGAGCCCCCTAGAATGCATGAGCAAACAGCAAGCCTCTCCATTCAGAGGACATCTGAAAATGTTTTGATCTGATTTTTCATGCTATTTAGACACAGTAAGGTCCCTGTTCATTAGGGAGATAATAAACCAGCTGCTTCTCAAAGAACATCTTTCCCTATATTTGGGAATTCTGGAATCTCTTTCTTGATTTGCTTCTGGAAATGAGCTAACTTTACTCCTTTAACTAAAATCCTCTAATGGATTCCCATGGCATGTAGGACAAAGACCCTATCTTGGTGGCACAGCTGGATTCTCATCTCATCTTAGCGGAGTCTTCCTTTCTCACTGTGCTCTAGATGTGTTCTCAGCTCATTTCCACTCCAGCCTCAATGCACTCTTGGTGGTTAATGTGCTCTGTCCCAGACCTACAAATAGAAAAGGGCTTCCCGTGCCCACCGATTCAAGGCCTCATTTCCTCCTTTACCCTCACATCTCACTGTGTCATTTTTATTACAATAACAGCAATTATCGTGCTCAATTTTCCCTTGATCACTGGTTCCTCCTGTGTCAGTACAGCATGACTATCTTGATCACACTTGGAGCACTTGTGCCCAGGAGAGTATCAGAGCACAGTAGATTCTTACTACGTAAGAGCTTAGTGGGTAGATTAATAGGAAACATTAACAATTTGAATTGAAAAATTCTTTATTAGATTTTTGTTACAAGAAATTGGAGCTAGTTTCACATATTGTTGTCTGCTCAAGGGAAATCTATTTCATTTGTGATTAGGGTAGTATGGGCTTGTTCTGTTTATTTTATTTTTTATTTTTTGTTGTTGTTCTATTTATTATGGCTTAGCTTTAAGAGCAAGAGAGAACCTAGAGTGCATGGGATTTGGTAAGACAGCTCTTTGGGAGCCAAATAAACATGAGAGTAATTCATTCTTACTTCTTTTTACATTATTGGATATACAGAAAGTGGAACAAAAGGACAGGGATCAATCTTAATTATTGTCTATAACAAATGATTTATAGAAAGTCAAGCTTTTTGACTTTGTTTCCCCATACATTGGCTGCCTGGTTGATGTCTGAGTGGTATTAGGATTAAACTGGATAATGTGATTGAAAATCCTCTGGCTTATTTATTTATTTTTATTAGCACATGTTTATAATACATAATGATTATATCCCTTGTTTGGAGTTGGTACGTGTAGAGAACACATCATATTCCCCCCCCCATCTCTGTTCTCTTATTTCACTCTTTCCATCTCTTTTGAGAAAGATCTCCCCACTTTCTATTACTTATCTTTTATTTTGCCCCTTATTTACACTTTGGACTCTTCTGGCTCCTTTTAAGTGCTATTTAAATACAAGAGAGCACATTTTACACATGCATGTCTGAGGTAAGGTATCTGTTGTTTCTTCTCTACATGATTATTTTTATTTATTCTGTATCTACAGCACGTAGATCAGCAGATATCCAATATACTATCAATCAGATGCAAAATGAATTCCATTATTATTTCTACTTTTCTTTGGCTAACTTGTGAATTCTTTATATAGCAT